CCCTTATTATTATTATGGTAATTGTAAGGTTAAGTTGTAAAACTTGAAATTCTCCCCAAACTACTCTTTCTTAGTGCTAACTGTGGGGATATGCAGATTAACATGAATAATTCACTACTGTACCGAAGGAAAAATATTTTTAGCAACTGAAAATTTATTACCGACTTGTCTGCATTATTTTAGTTTTTGCAAGGTGTTGTGATGGTGAGAAATCGTCCACCAAGGGTAGCAGGCAAGATTCTGGGGTTTCTGAATTTCACATAAAGACAACCCACTTCAAGTCTCCTTATTTATTAAGGGGCCTGGGTGGTGGAGTGAGTTATGGATTGGGCTGCTAACCTCAAGGTCAGCAGTTGAAACCCTTCAGTGCCTCCATGGGAGAAAGATGAGGCTTTTACTCCCTTAAAGGTTTGCAGCCTCGGAAACCCTAGGGTCCAATAGGCTGCCAGGAGTTGGGGTGGACTCTTTGGTTGTGCGTTTGGTTGGGTTTGGGCTGAGCATAAGTTAAATTGTCTGATGCTAACTGTGGCTATTTGAAGCTACCCAGCAGCTGCATGGGAGGGAGACCTGGTGACCGGCTTCCATAAAAATTATAGCCAAGAAAACCCAACCACCTACTCCTGCTCTGTCATTGATATTGCTACTAGTGGACTGAAAGGCATTCAACAACCACCTTGTTTGCTTCGGAGGAGGGGAACCTTCAATGCAGTAGCATTGCGCTGCTGCTTCCGCCCATGGAGGTGTGTGTGTGAAACTGGTTTACAAGAACCCCCTGCTACTTGTCATTACAAACACAAATTCTACACCTTAGGGGAAAGGAAGTTAAAAAAAGGAAACATCTTCAAACTGATGTTTCAGACATGAGATCACTTGAGAGAAAATTAATCCCAGCAGGGGGACTCTAAAGAGAACTAAAGTTTAAAAGAAGGTCAAGGACAAGCCTTTGCAGCTCTTCCAAGAGGGACTCGTTCTGACATGAATTCTCCATCTTACCTGTCAGAAATTCCTTTTGGATCAGTGTTTATTATATGGAATGCATAGAACTGTAGTGTTTCACATGCCCTGTGGTATTGCCAATTTGTTGCCTTACTTTATTTTCCTGAAGTGTATGAAAGACTGACAAGAGACAACAAAATGCTTCCAAAATTCTTTCATATTTCCCATCAATATTGTGTCTATTTGTAATATCTAGGAGAAAACGAGTTTATCCTACATGAGGTAATGATATTTCAGGAACTTGTCATTTGGGTAATGCTTTACGTCCTTCCATGAGAATGCTCCTTAAAGATTGGATTATAAGTGGCAGGTCATTTGATTAAATGAAGACTGGAGAGTTAATCTAGGCAAGTTGGTATCGGCTCAGAATTTCTATTTCTCAGGACACATTCTAGGATTCAATTTGATGTCCTCCCGACTCTGCTTTTACTATCTGGGTGTAGGATGGAGCTGGCCACAGCCGTTGAATACTTGAGAGCAGTATGTTGTGTATTGTTAAGCTGAGTTTCGCTGATGATCTAGTATATCTTTGTGAATTTGGGGCCATGAATGGGACTTGAGATGAGGTCAGATTTTTTGTTTGGAAGCTTGAGGTTCAAGTTATTTACTCTTCAGAACACACACCTGGCTCTTGGAACCAGGTGCTAAGTGCCCATTCCATTTACTCAGCTGCTGGGCGCGTTAGGAGTCACTCAGAAACACTAAGCTCAGTGATCGGAAAATGCAAGTCCACTCAAAACCCGTCCTTAAGCCTAACACTCATTTAAATAATTTTATTGGTTTAATTAGGATAAATACATAATCGAAATAACGATAAATAATGTATCAGTAGCATGGGGTTGCAAACAATGCTTGAGTGGCCTTACATATAATAATTATGAATGATAAAGAGAAATAAATGTAGGAGACCCCACGGAGCAAGATACTGTTTAGGTATGCTTTCTGTGAGAGGTTATTGAAGGCAAAAACCAAAACACCAGAACACATGATTACAAGCCCTTTAACATAGCACAGCTTGGCAAAGGCCCTGAAACTCAAAGTCATGAATGCAGAAGTTGAATCTGGCCTCCAAGGACATAATTTGATCTCAAGGACCGCTTCCTGTTCATTGTTTTCTGTTAATGTTTTCCTTTTCAAGGGCTTTCAAATCAGTGACTGTATTAACCAATTCTCAGGGAACAAGGCTGGGGCTGGGGGCGGCTCTTGACAAAGCTGCCCCGCTGTGCGGCCTGCTGGGGGCCAGAAGAAGCGTTTTCTGCAAATGACTCTGAAGCAGCTTGCTGCAAGGACAGCCGACGGCCTCCTGGACAGCCGTGTGCGACGCCTCTCCATGGCCTACAGCTTGAGATTCAGTTGTGGGCCCTCCTACTTGTTAGGCATCTGTTTACATAGTCTAGTCTGTGAATTAGTTCAAAGAACCCGAGTCACGAAAATACGAGTTGTTTACCTGCTTTTTTCCCCTTTCTCTTTGTTGTTTGAGAGGAACTTGTTTGTCCCTGAAGACTCCAAGTCCATTTCAAATACATTTGCTTCTCAAAACACACAGCATTTGGAGGCTTCTGAACAGGTTCTTTATTGGACAGTGGAGGACTGCCTTGACGCTTTCTCTCTGCTAAACTCAGCTCTATTTCAAAAGTTTCCTCAGCATACCGGGGACACCAGTGACGACTTCCTCCGTTTCATCCTTTCTCATTAGGTAAAAAAGGCAACGAGAAGGGAAACGGCACAAACACAAGCGCACCGGCGGTCAGTTAAGGGAGACGGCGCTGGTTCTGGTTCTGGTTCTGGTTCTACGACTTGTTGGTTCTGTGCCCTTGACTTGCTGGGTCTTGACTAAATTTTGCTTTTTATACCTCATGATTACATGCACACAGACCTAAACATACACTCACATCTGTGCAGGCATGTGTGTCCACAAGAATGAAATACATGACATTGTGAAAAAAAATTAGTACATATATGTATCTCATATTTTTATTTGCATAGTGCGTGGGTGGCGTTTTGGATACCTGCTTTGTGTTGGTAACATTTCTGATCTCAGATGAGTTACCCGAGGGGGGGGTCTGGTCTCGTAGAGGGTTAGTGGAGGGTCAGACAAGACCCGGATGGACTGCCTAATGAATGCGATAAGATACAGTTACATTTTATGCTTCATAGATTCTAAGCACTTTGTCACTATTGTGAGGTGCCATCGAGTTGGTCCCGATTCACAGCTACCCAATGTACAATGGAACGCTGCCCGGTCCTGTGCCAGCCTCCTGCTTGTGGGTGGGTGGAGCCCATGGTTGTAGCCGCTGTGCCATCCAGCTTGTGGAAGGTCACTGCCCCTCTACTTGACGGAGCCTGACGTCCCTCTCAAGAGTCTGGTCCCTCCAGTCTAAAGCCAATGAGATGGCATCTCACCACCCTTGCTTCTCAGGAGCATCCGGCTGTACTTCTAAGACAGATTTTGTTCTTTTAGGAGTCCGTGGTACTTTCAATGTTCTTTGATGGAACCATAATTCAAATGCACCCATTCTTCTTCTAGTTTCCTTATCCATTTTCCAAATGTCACATCCGTATGAAGCTATGGGAAATGTCATGGCTTAGGGCAGGCGGCCCCTTAGTTCTCAAAGAAGCACCCTTGCTTTTTAATACTTTAAAGCGGTCTTGTGCAGCCTATATTCCCAAATAGGCTGTTATCACAATGCACTCACTGCCATCGGGTCGATGCGGACTCACAGTCGCCCGATAGGACAGAGCAGTACCACCCCTGTGAGGTTCCAAGACTGCAGTGGTTTACAGCAATAGAAAGCCCCATCTTTAAGCCACATAGGCCGTTAGAGGTTTGCAACGAATACTTTTAATGCTCCTGTTATCAGAATATGTGCTCTATCAAAGAGACATAGAATCCCTTAGAGGAAAGATAGCCTTCACAGAATCACCTGGTTTGATATGTCCATTTCCTCATTTTACAGGGAATTAAACACTCTGATCTGCCTTATGGTCCAGTTTGCTCTTATGGTGTCAAACTACACACACCTGTAAGTGGCAAATGCTGTTCAAGGCATTCTGAACATCCATGGAGAGTTTTGAGTTATTTTCTTTCTTTCTTTGCCCCCCGTATGTTTGAAATGAACTTGTACATCACAAAAACTCCAAGTCTACTTCAGTTTTACTTTTCCTCCTTTTTTGGGTCACTCAGACCAATCTTTCGATCTGAGGGGTGAGGAATCGGGACGGTTTACTTTATTTCATTTATCTGTTAAACCCTCCATGTTTTTGATTCCCCCTCCCCTCTCTCTGTTCCCAGCCCTGGGCCTGGCCTCCTCCTGGTCATCAAAGTCTTGTCTATTGTTTGTTCCTCATAATAACGGCGTTACTAAATATTTATCTTCGTAAGGTTGACTGAGTTTGCTAAGCGTAATGTTCTCTAGCTTTGTCCACACCTTGCAGTGTTTAAGAGAGTTATCGTTGTTTCTTATTGATGCATAAAATTCCACAGTATGAATGAGCCAGGTATCCAATTCCTCCTTAGTTGGGGCTTCTGATTGTTGCATGTCTTGCTTCTGTGGGCATTGCTGCAAAAACATAGGTGTGAATCTGTCTGTTAATGTTACACTCCTGGTTTCTTTAGGGCATAGACCCAGAGAGCTCTTTTCTTAATAAAGACCCTGCACATGAGGATTTTTCTGGGGGTGCTGGCCCCACAGGGGAATCAGCATTGGGCAGCTAGCCACAAGGTGGCCCATTGGAACCCATCGGCCTCTCTGCAGGAGAAAAGAGGAGGAAGTCCGCTTCGGAGGAAATGTACAGCCTCTGAGACTCTCTGGGAGAGTTCGACTGTTCTCTGGGGTCGCTTTTGATTGAAATAGACTCCTTGGCCATGAATTTGTTTGAATTTGGCTCTCAGCAGTGAGTCTCTCAGTTCCGCCCCCTCTTAGTTGTTTGGAGATAAATGGGCAGCCCCAAGGAGTCCCTCTTTCCCAGGCTTTTCGGGAGGGCGGGGGCACTGCTTGAAGGGGATGGGGTGCGGAGCCAGCAGGAAGGTCGTCCCTGAGCCTCCTGTGCTGGCCTGGCACAAGCAGAAGGGTCCTGGCCAAGGCAGCGCCTCAGGAGCAGAGCCAGGACCAGCAGCAGTGGCCGAGGCAGCTCAGAGGATGCAGGTGGTCCATTTTCGAGCCAAGTTCGACCCCCGGGTCCTGGCCAGGTAAAGCCCCAGGCGAAAGGCTCGTCTAGTGGTTGGCCTGGGGCTGGGTGGAAAAAGAAAACCTCTGAGCAGAGTGGGCGGAAGATGGGGAAATGAAGAGACTGACGAAGAGGCTGAGCAAGGAACGGAAGGGAACCCCTAGCCTCAGTTTGGGAAGGGCAGAATCCATGGGACACGCCGCGCCTGGAATCCAGCAGACTAGGCTCCTGAAGGAGCCTCTGCAAATTTATACAAAGAGGGATCGCAGTGCAATGCAAAGAGAACTTCGAGTCCGTCTACACCGGTCTCTTCTATCTCGTCCTTGGGAATGGTCTCCAGCCTTCCCTCGCCTTAGCTCCTGCCTCTGTAAAATGGGCATCATAATAGTCTTTACTTTCTAGAACCGTTGTGAGGATAATTAAAGTAATGTGGTAAAGTGCCTGCCCGAATCCTCATTTATATATTATCGCAATGCGTATGCATTGCTTTCATAAAATACAAGTTGAAGCTAGTGCTTTATCTACTATGGTATCGTCTGACCCCCGTGTAGGAAGGGCAGCATGGTTGGCCTGATACATGGCTCTGAGTGGGACATATTGGACACGTTGGACGGAGAAAATGACAGAATCTCCTTCCCTCTAGGTCAGCTGGTTTCTCAGGGACACTGAATCCTAGAATTGTTTGCTTGCTTGTTCCCAGCGCTCTGCCACAACTCTAGAGAGCTATTCCCTAGCCGCTTTGGAAGCGTGTAGTACACCAGGGTTTCAAGATCAGACGGGCAGCTGCTAGGTGTAGAGTAAACGGGTGGAATGAAAAGAGCGGGGGGCTTGAGGGTTCATCGGGACTACACTGGGTAAGTGCCATCTCCGGTCATCGGTATCCAGGAAGCAGACACTATTCTGGCCTATCTGATAACCTCCCCTTCCAAAGTTCTCCCAAAGAAGCAGAAGGTCTTAGCAGCTGCAGAGTGCTTTCTCCCCACCTTCTTCTTTCATCGAGGAGGGAGGGACTGCACCTTAGAAGGTGAAGTTCAGTGAGTGGCATGTTGGGTATAGAGCCCAGTTATCTTTCCTCTCTGATTCCATTTTTAGTTCTCCTATGATAGAGATGACGGGAACCTCAGGGACCCCGTGGATTAGGTGCTGAGCTAACTCTAAAGTCAGCAGTTCAAACCTGACAGCTACTCTGAGGGAAAAAGATGCGAGTCTCTGCTCCCTTAACTAGGGTCTTGGAAACCCTGTTTAGGGCCCTGGCTTGCTAACTACGAGGTCAGCAATTTGAACCCACCAGCCTCTCTGCAGGAGAAAGGGGAAGCTTTCAACCCCCTTCAAGAGTTGCAGTCTCAGAAACCCACAGGGGCAGTTCTCCGCTGTCTCACGGGCCACTGTGGCCTCGATGGCAGTGAACATTGTGAGTGACAGTGGGTTTGCTTTGGGCTTACACGTGCCTTCTTCTTGAGAGTCCATTATCATCCATTTTATCACAAATTACCATAGTGTTCTTCCCTGGTAGACGTATGAAAATATTCCAGCAGCGACAGCTACGGTGAAATTAGTATTTTCTATCTTTTATCATCTGAAATTGTGGACCATTAAAAACCCCAATTCCAAACCAGAGCCTTCACCAATTGGGCAGCTCCTGCCAGCGTCACGCCTGTGCAGAGTCGAGCTGAATTTGTAGGGCTATGACTCTTCCACTGCAGACCACTGGCCCTTCGGCGGTGCCCTGGGTGGGTTTGAACTGCCAGGCTTGCTACTGCTAGCTGAGTGCCTCACTGCTCCAGCTTATTGCTTGCCTGTGAATCTCACGTTGAGACAGGAGTGGGGGAAAGTGGAAGAACTTGAGCTTGTAAGTACATGCTCCCATGCGTGGTCCAATCCTGGTTTCATGTTTCAAATATGTGTGCCGATTAGGGAGTATGAATGCAGTGAATGATTCATCCCACAAGCATTTACTGCTTTTTCTCGGCTCCAGGCCCTTCGGTAGATGTCGCCACTCCAATCATCATATCGGGCCAGCTCCGTGCCTGCCAGGGGCTCAGAAGCAAGGCAGGGGCTTCAGGAATATGTTACTGGACAGTATTTATTCGATCCGGGGCCCTTTGTTCCAAGTATTCTGAATCTTGGCTTAAAGCCTGCTGTTTCTCACCATGCCAACCGACTAGCATTTTGTCCAATATTTGTTAGAGGAAAGCCCTTCACAGTCGTGAATCAAACGTCTCTTATTTGAGCAAAAGATTATAGTTCTTCAGAAATGGTAATTTCTTTGATATCTGATGATTAATTCTGTGAGCAAATGATGTTGCCTTGTAGTTTGTGGGCATATTTGAGCGTGTTTGAGGGCAGTTTGAGCGGTAAATTAGTATTTGCAAAGTGCTTTCATCCACATTAGAGGTAATATAAAAACCCGGTTGGTCTGCAAAGCCAGAGGAGCTGAAATGCCTGTGATTATCTTCACAATCACACCGAGGGCATTTATGAATAATCATTAAAAAAAAAAGGAGTACAGTTGGAAAGGAAGAGGGAGGAAAGTATCTATTTAAGATTACTAAATTGCTATCTGTTTTGATAAGGTAATTGGCCAGAAAATTAAGTGCCCTGTGCAGAGCAAAGCTGTCTCCTATACACTGGTAGAGTTGAATGTCATTTCCATTCAGTGAGCAGAGAAATCCAGGGAAGCAAATTTAGACAGCAATAACCATTCCGGAGAGACTGACCTTGGAAAATAAAAGAGGCTCTTGAAGCAGAGGCTAAGATTCACTCTGGAATCTTTGGTATTGAGGGTCTGATTCCACGAGGGGCTTTCTCCTTTCTGAGTTCTTCACGTTTTCCTGCTGTTCCTTGTCAATCTTGGTGTGCCTTTCCGAGTCCACTCTGACACATAGTGGCCCCACCTAGGACCCGGTAGAACTGTCCCCACGGGTTTCCCTAGAGCCTAAGCTGTACTGCTGATGGGGCTGACAGCCCCCCCCCTCTCACAGAGCAGCTGGTAGAGTCTGACTACCACCTGCCTGGTTACAGCTGAGCGCTCAACCATGGTGCCACCAGGGCATCTTCCGGGAACCCTACCTGGGAGAAGAGCCCAAGCCAAACCCTCTGCCATTGAGTTGATTCCGATTCATAGCCGCCCAATAGGGCAGAGTAGAACTGTCCCCCTGGGGTTTCTGAAGCTTTAAATCTTTATGGGAGCAGTCCGACAGGTTCATCTTTCTCCTGCAGTGCACCTGGTGGGTCCACACTGCTCAACGTGGGGTGAGTAGTGAGTAACCCACTATACCACCGGGGCACAATAATACGTAAAAGAATAACAATAATAGTCATAATCATCATAATAATGATGATCAGGGGAACCAAGGTAAGAAGACGACAAGGACAGAAAAGAAGGTCTAGATCATGGACCTAGATAACGGGAGGATCATCGTTTTGACAGAGAACGTGTTCGATATTTCTTCTCAGCAGATATGACATCAAGGCTCTGATTGGGCGAGGCAGCTTCAGCAAGGTTGTCAGGGTGGAACAGAAAGCCACCAAGAAGCCTTTTGCCATAAAAGTGATGGAAACCAGACTGAAGGAAGGCCGAGAGGCCTGTGAATCGGAGCTCAGTGTCCTGAGGCGAGTCAGCCACCGCTACGTGGTCCAGCTCCTGGAGGTCTTCCAGGCCCCGAATTGCACTTACCTGGTGATGGAGCTGGCCACCGGAGGGGAGCTGTTCGATCGACGCGCTGCTCAGAGATCCTTCACGGAGCAGGATGCCGTCAGAATCCTCCAGATGGTTGCTGATGGGATCCGGTATTTGCACACGTTGAGAATAACTCACAGGGACCTAAAGCCTGAAAACCTCTTATACTATCATCCAGGAGCCGAGTCGAAAATCTTAATCACAGACTTCGGGTTGGCAAACTCCGGGAACAAAAGGGGCGACTGGTCCATGACGACGCTCTGTGGGACACCCGAGTACATCGCTCCTGAGGTTTTGCTGAGGAAGCCGTACACCAGTGCGGTGGACATGTGGGCTCTTGGTGTGATCACGTACGCTTTGCTTAGCGGATTCCTGCCTTTTGATGACGAAAGCCACACGAGGCTCTGTAGGAAGATTCTCAGAGGAAAATATCACTACGTGGGAGAGGTCAGTGGCCATTTTTTCCCTATTGTGTTGATGTAGAGAAGTTTCTCAACTTCGGCAGAATAGCCATATGGGAAGGGGTGGGTCTTCTCCTTGGGGAGGGGGGGGGCTGTCCTGTGCATTGATAGATTTTTAGCAGTGTCCTTGGCCTCTGTCCATGAGAAACCTCTATCTAATTGTAACACCCCCCCCCCATACCCCTAGGAATGGTCAGATGTCCCCGGGTAGGCAAAATCACTCCCTGTCTCTAGGTAGCCAGTGCCTGGATTACTGTGGGTCCCACGTGACTTCTTGATCCCGAGCCTGCTGATTAGACAAATGTGTACTCTGGAGCTCAGCAGGAGGCTTGCATGTTTGCTGAGAGATTTCTCTGCCTTAAATCTGGTTGATCCAAGCCTCTGTTACCATGTAATGTTTCCTCGGTGAAATGTTCAATCTTACAGTTTGGGTAAAAGCACCTCTTGTTGGAACTTGGGACTCCTAGTGTTCATCAGGGTGCTAACTTTTGGTGCTCTGGGGAGTTCAAGGAGCTGTCAGCTTTTGTGAGAGGATTGTCCTTCAAAATGGGGAACTTCACTTTATGATGTAGAAGCAGTCACACTTGTTTTGCTTGTGAGCTGAAAAGGCTTATTTTTTCCTCAGAAAGAAACAAGGCAGTCCTGATTATACCTAATTAACATGCCATATCTATCTGCCTGATACCATCACAAAATTAATGTCTAAACTGAAAATTGAAAAAGATTATTTTCTACATTCTAAAGACTTGTAGTACTTATTGTACATGCATAAATATTTTAAATGTACACAAACTCATAAGTAGGAACTATTCACTAATGAACAAAGAAATATAACTGCAAGTTGTATTTTTTTTGCCTTTCAAATAAATATAAAAATACCTCTAATCCTTAGTAATATGTACATCTTTGTGATAGAATACTTCACAAGGTTTAGATTATGACTTTGTAGAAATATTTGAAGACATCAGAAAATGTTCATATTATGCTGTCAATTGTGGGGGGGCAGAAGCAATAAGATGTGATCACCAAGGTGGGAAATTGTATGCCTAGAAAAAAGATTTACTAGCTTAAAAATAATAAGTGGGTTTATCTACACATTTGCGGATCATTTCAGTTTTCTTTTTTCATATTTTGAATATGAATATGTACTTGAGTATTGTTTTTGTTTACAAATAATATGTATTTGTTTTCATTACCTATTGCTGCACAGCAAACCACTCCAAAACTTAGTAGCTTAAAACAGCAACCATTTGACTATTCCTTGTCATTTTAGGGTCAAAGGGTTTGGGCGACTCTTCTCGGCATATGGTGTTAGCTAGGACTGCAGCCTGTGGGGCTATCCGAGTGGACTGGAATGTCCACTCATGCAGATGTCTGACCGGTTGTCATGACTGGCAGTAAAGCCAAGTTCAGCTAGGTTCCAGAGACTATCTGGCCTTTCTCTCTGTCTTTCTTGCGGCTCCTGGTCTGTTTCTCAGCATGAAGTCTTCCTTGTTTCTTTTCCAGCAAGGAGGTCAGACTTCCTTCGTGGCTGCTAAACGCTTCTATCATAGACTGCTCCAAGACAGAGAAAGTGGAAGTTTCAGTCCAGCTCACTGCTGGACGTGGGAAAAGCTCAGCATCATGTTCGCTGACTTCAAATGGCGACTAGGGTTTCCACATCAGTCTGGACTCCGTGTGAGCGAAGATTCCACAAGGAAGTGGATACTAGGGGCATATTTATTAGGGCCATCTTTGGAGGGGCTAGGAAGGTGACTTTGTGAGTGTGTGTGGCTTTAACTCTGTGTATAATATTTTACATAAAAGAAAATGAATGCAAATATGGAAAAACATTAAGACTTATTAAAGCTCACTAGTGGCTGTATGAGAGGGTACCCCCCTAAAAAATGGAAAAAAACTCCACTGGGCAGAGCTTTTGTCGTACGCATTTTTCCCGCTAGGCAAGCACCCAGCAACTCACTCTGAGTTAGTGCACCCAGTGGTGTCACCTGGGAAGGTTCTGTGTAGTCACAGTGAATTTTTTCATATAAGCAGTTTGGCTTGACCTTCGCGTTTTGTGATTGCCTATTAAAGAGAACAGGGTGCGACTGTGAAATTGTGTTTCCTACTTGGAAAAAAATGCTGCATAAACTGTTGTGATTTGAACACAGCTTACAAGGACAGGGCTATGGGGAAAACTTAAGTGTGGGAGTGGTTTTATTGTTTCAAAATAGGTGAAATGTCATATTGATGACAAACCTCATTTTGGATATCCATCGACTTACTCAACGTAAATGTCCACAACATTCGTGCACTCGTACTTGAAGACCAACAGACCAATAAACAGATGGGACTATCTTGGAGCTGGGGTCAGTGCATTTTAATGGAAGATTGGGGAATGAGAAAGGTTGCTGAACATTTTGTGCCTTGTGTTCTGATTGACCAGGAAAAAGAGCATTGAGTGGAAACATGCCATGCTTTGAAAGAACAGCTCACAAGCAACCCAGACTTGTTTGCCCCAAGGTCATTACTAGTGATGACACATTGTGTTATTCTGACGACCCAGAAAGCAAACATCAATCAAGACAGTGGAAGCCCCATTGTCACCTCACCCCCCAAAAGCTTGTCAACTGAAATCAAAGATCAAGATGATGCTCATTTGTTATTTTGATGTGAGGGGGATAGTGCATTTGGAGTTCGTTCCACCAGGTCAGACTGTTAATCAAGCTTTCTATTTAGAGGTTCTGAAAAGACTGCATAGCGGTGTGCGACCAAAGCAGCCTGGTTTGTGGCAGCTGGGTACCAGCTATGCCACCATAACAATGCACCTTCTCATGCAGCTCTCTCAGTGCGCCAGCATGGCTCTCTTGTCCCACGCACCTTACTCACCTGCCCTCACTCCCTGTGACTTCTTTTTGTTTCTGGGAATGAAGAGGGACTTAAAAGGAGAGCGATTTGCCGATATAGAAGAGGTGAAGGAAAAAATGAGGGAGGTGCTGTCAGCCACCCAAAAAAGACAAGTTTCAAAAATGTTTCCTAGAATGGAGTTGCAGATTTGACAAATGTATTAAGGGTATTGGAGAGCACTTTAAAGGTGATAAGGTTGTTTTGTAAAAAACTTAAAATACACAGCTTTGAAACAAAAATTCTGGGTTTTTTTGTGGGGGGAGGAAGGGTATTTATATCAGCTTCTGTATTAAAAAACAAATGTAATATTTTGGATCATTGTTTAATTCACATAAAGGTTATGCAGAACATACACAGTTTCCACATTCTTTCCTTTCTCTTGCACACTATTTCTCTGATGATTAATCTTGCAAATGTCTGTGGTATATTTGTCAAAAGATAACCATTGTTGACACATTATTATTATTATTTTTTGTACTGAGAAAAACCAATTGTAAGTCAGCATATACAGAAACCTGCAGCTTATATAGGAGCCTTGGTTGTGTAGTGGCTATGATTTGGGCTGCTACAGGCATGACCAGCAGTTCAAAACCATTAGCAGTTCCTCAGAAGAAGGACTGGGCTTTTTTTTCCTTCCTTTTTTTTTTTTTTT